GGTCAATGGCTTACGTGATGAAGTCATATTTTGGTTGCTATGACCATCAATCATTTTTAAAATCTTCTACGACTGACGGTTCTCTGTATCTTTAAAATTGTTGCAAACATTCATTCCCAGAGATTTTTCAATTTCAGGACTTACTACATTTAATCTTCAGGGAACAGTATTTTTGGAAAAATGCCAAACAGACATGAATGCCAGATAATATTCTGATAAACATCCTCTAATGGCAAAGCATTGTTAAACCTAAAAGGAACATCAACAAAGCTAAAATTTCAAATCCACCTGCCTCAGAAATAGGATTATGTATGATTGTTTTAAACCCAATTTTCCACTTTCTATATTATTATGGTTCCCTGATTTTAAAAAACATGTTAGAAATTGCTAACAGCAATTTCCTCTGGGAAGGAAAACTGATGGCCAAGGAAACAGGAAAAAAAGACCTTTTGATATTTTAGTTATCTGAGTGTAAATGCTTACTTACATATTAGAACTAGTCTGTGGTTAAACATTTTTAATGCTAATGTTTGGAATTAGTGCTTATTGTGTATTCTATATCAGGGAAATAGATACTATTTATCTTTAAACTTATTTTTTAAAGTTGTTTTAGTGTGCTTTGTCAGATATTTAGGAGCATATTTAGTTGAGCAAAATTATATATATACATATATATTTTTTCAAATATCCACTTTCTTAAGTGCCTCATTTATAATTAATTTACAAAATGTATATCAACCATAATATTCAAGACACTCCCTCATTAGTAAATATAAATATTAAATCAGCTTAAAAAAAAGAACCTTTTGAGTTTTATACAGTGTGTGTGTAAATTTTAAATGTATGTTTAAATTGGTTAGGATGAATAGGTTTATAGCATTACTGAAATGTTTATTTTGCTAGGGAGATGCTTCAAGGGAAATTTGGGTAAGTAATAAAAAACAGAGGCACCTCGAATTTTAATAGTTGTCTTTTTAATAAATGAGATCATACTCTGCTTAAAAAAGTTAGAAGTATTTTAATTGTCTTTCATGACAGGTGCCAGCTTTGAAAACTCATTTTAGTTTTTTCATAAACTGGTGCCTAAAAGAAAAGTTTCATCTTTATTAAAATGGACAGGAGCGAAATGGCTAAACTTGACTTTCTCAGTTCCCAAAGGCTATATATATATATGTAAGCAGTCAGGGATCTAAAGCTTTGACATACCTGAAGGAGAAGAAAGCCACCACCTACTGCAGTTGCTGCAAGTTTTCCAACTTTCTGGAACAAAAATCCTGCACACCTTTAATGAAAGAAATAACAAAAGATGAGATCAATGTTGTACTAAACTCTCTCCCTCTTGTACTTTTCATTGCTTTCCTAATACAATCTTAATGTCTTCCCATTTCTTCTGCTGATATCCCTTACCTGCTCAGAAATCCTCAAGGTTTCCCTTTAGTTATATAAGCTACTCAAAAGTGTACAATTAAATTGTCTGAGATGTGCTCCAGGAATGGAACTAAAAGGAGAGGAATTTACAGGAAGATTGGCTACTGAAACTGAATGTTGAGTATTCGGGGGTTCATTATACTCTTCCTTTCATATTTGTAAAGTTGAAATTCCCCACAATAACATGGATTTGTTCTATTTTTTTCAAGAGTCAAGATGTTCTACACACCTAGCCAATCCCCACACTACCCAAACCTTCTGCTCCAACCCAATTAGTTTCCAAACAGGTCATCACCATTGCTTAAGCTATTAATCTCCCTGTTTCAAGGGGTTTCTACCTAGCTCTGCATTATCTAAAGCTTTTCTATCCTTTAAGGTCCATCTGGAGTTCCACCTTCATGACTACACTTCAGCCCACGTGTCTCATGGCTTCTTTACCTATATCTGTATCTATATCTATATTAAACCTGCTTTGTCTCATCTATCCTGTAAGAATGTCACCCCATACTGCTTTTGTGATTCCTTCCTTCAGTGATCTCATATTCCCATCAGTATTCCAGATCCATAGTGTGCAAAAGAAACTCAGATTGCTAACTCTACTCTTCTGTACTGGGTTAGTGTCCACCCAAAATCCATTTCCTTCCCAGAATCTCAGAATGTGACTTTATTTGGAAGGTTACTGCAGATGTAATTTGTTAAGATGAGGCCATACTAGAGTAGGGTAGCCCTAAATCCAATAGGACGTAATCCATTATGTAGCAGCAACACAGGGAAGATGGCCATGGGATGGCGGGGCAGAGACTGGACTAAGTCTACAAACCGAGGAATGCCAGGGATTGCTGGCAACCACCGGAAGCTAGGTGAGAAGCATGGAACAGATGCTCCGTCTGAGCCTCCAAGAAAGAGGCCACCCTGCCAACACCTTTCAGACTTCTAGCCCCCAGACCTGGGAATAAATTTCTCTTGTATCAAGACACCTAGTTGTGGTACTTTGTTACGCCAGTCCTAGGAAACTAATATGCTTTCATAAATGGAATCTTTACATTTCTAATTACAGGATGAGCTCCTCCAGCACCCAGAACCACATACGGGCATACCTCGTTTTATTGCGCTTCACAGATGTTGTATTTTTTTTAACAAATTGAAGGCAAGACCCTTCACCAGGAGAAAGATTACCACTCACATTATTGTGGTGGTCTAGAATGGAACCCACAGTATCTCCAAGGTATGCCTATATTCAAAATGTCCGAAAGCAATCATCACCAAACCAGTTGTTACTAAGGTTCCAATTTGTACGTGACAGCACCATTCTCTACACTCGCCACCTCATATTCATCTCAGACTCTGCTTCTTCATGGCCTTCAGGGTCCGACTGATTGCCAATTCTATATCCTCTATCTTCAAACCATTATTTGACTCTTGTCTTCTTTCCACTCTCAAAGGCATCATTACCCTGTTCCCAGACCACACCAAGTAATCTTCTAGACCAGGGGTCAGCAAACTGCAGCTTGAGCCACATGCGGCTACGTACATGTGGCTCTGAAGTAAAATTAAAAATGAAAATAAAACTATCATAGTTTCATTTATAAAATTTTTAAAGGATATTATTCACATAATGGTTATTTCATTTGTTTTATAGGTCTTGCAAAACTTCGAGGGACAAGATTGGCTCTTTAGTCTCAAAAGTTTGCCAACCCCCACTCTAGACCCTTTAATTAATCTTCACACCTCCCATCTCTCCTAGCAACCACCCATCCTGACATTAATTTTATTATTAGGATAAAAAAAACTATAGTTACCTACAGCTAAATATAATCTCCTCAGCCTCCCACTCATGTCCTGAATTGGTCTGAATTGTTAACTAGTTAGGTTAATCCCTATTAACCATTTCTCCTTAACATATGCCACAGTAGTACATCTGTTTGTTTTGTTTTTTTAATTGGGGAATTGCGGGAGGGGAACAGTGTTGGGGAATTGGGGAGGGGGACCAGCCAAGTTGTTGTTCTTCAATCTTAGTTGTGGAGGGTGCCAGGCGCCATCTGGATGCCCGTCGGCAGTTCGTGGCCTCTAAGCTCAAGGTGCTGTGTTCAATATTAGTTGCACGTGGGCATAGCCACCATCCCACGCAGGAGTCAAACCAGCAGCCTTGTTGTTAAGAGCGCACGCTCTATCCCCTGAGCCATCAAGGCGGCAGCTCAGCTCAAGGTGCCGAGTTCATTCAGTCTTAGTTGCAGGTGGGCATAGCCACCATCCCATGTGGGAGTCGAACCGGCAGCCTTGTTGTTAAGAGTGCATGCTCTATCCCCTGAGCCATCTGAGCGGCAGCTGAGCTCAAGGTGTGGAGTTTAGTCTTAGGTTGCGCGTGGGCGTAGCCCACCATTGAGCAGGCAGTCTTGTTGTTAGGAGCATGTGCTCTCACCAGCTGAACCATCCTGCCACCTGTTGGCAGCTCAGCAGCAGCTCAGCTCAGGTGCAGCATCACTGGCCCATGTGGGAATCGAACCGGCGGCCCTGGTGCTCAGAGCTCACGCTCTTAAGCAAGCTCTTAGCCAACAGAGCCACTTGGCCGACCCAGTACATCTGTTTTATACCCTAAAAAAATAACAAAATTTTACTATACTGAATCTAAAGTCATTGCAGCAAACCACCTGTGTAGTATTAGTCCTATTACATAGTTCCTGGGCCGACACCTGACTATTATCCAAACATGTATTACGATAAAGACTGTGTCCCTCAGATGGGAAGGCAGCAACAAAGGCTCAGAAAAGGGAGTGGAGGAAGCAGGCAGCGGCAGCCAAGTCTCAACAACGTCCCAGGCAGCATGCTCCACAAGCATGTCTGTCCTTTGCTTGATGGCATGAGCCACTAAAATAAACCAACCAACTTCCCTGCTCTGTCCCTAGGCTTTCCAAGCAAACTTCTGCCAATTATGGGGCTTCTCACCGAGTTTGAGCTACAAGGAGGAAACATACAATGATTTAATTCTATTGCTCAATTATTTTTTTAACCTCTTTTAAGATGGGGCTTTAGGCCCTGACACATTAACCAATCACCCACTGGCACCAAACTGTGAGCTTATTTAAGCAGGGAACCAGAGCCTGAATAGTGGGGATCAAGGTCCAACTGGCCTGTGGAGAATCATCTGAATAACCAGGGCCCTAACCATGCATCTCTCTTTTAATTGCAGGCTTTCTTCATCAGCAGCATTAATAAGTACACATCATGAATAAATACTGCACCTCTGCATCACAGAACCTTCGCAATGAGTGTTTCTACCATCGAATGGCATTTACAAAAAGGCACAAAGGAATACACCATTGTTCCATGGTGCATGTAAAATACAAATTTAAAAAATTAATTTTATACTTATCAATTTTAAATATGTAAATATTTAAATTAATGTAAGATGAATTTAACTTATAATCTAAAGAAAAAAATGATTGTGCAAATGTTAAACACCCACACTAACTTCAAAAATTCTCTACAGTCATGAACATTTTCAAAATAAAGGGTCAAACTTGTTGCTGACCCTTGTTATTTGGCTAATCTTTTATTCTAAGAATAACAGAATTAGATCTATAGTAGCAATTATGTAATCATGTGGTCTGAAATGTCAACTGGTTAGGTTAATGCTTATTTACTGCTTAATATATTCCACAATATTATTAGAATAAGCAATCAGTCCTTTAATTCCAACAAAGGCTCAATGTTCTACAACTCTTCTTCAAGTATTACAATCCAAACTAGCCCACAAAAATCAACACAATCATCTGTATCATAATCAATAACTTTCACTGAGAATTTTACACTGTTTGCGATAGGGCTGACAATCCTGGAGACCAGTTCTACTGTAGGAGCATCACAGGTTTCTCCAGTTGTTAGCACTGAACAAGTAAAGTATATAATTAACTCTTATCTATTTCTTCCTTTTCACTATCACTGAATCAGATCCACTACATTTGCTAAATTTGAGAAGGGGAAAAATATATAAAGAATCAAAGGAAGGGTGAGGAGGGAACAGTGGAACCGTTGTGGGCACCAGGGAGGGAGATCACCAAAACCCAACACTGAGTCTCTGAGTGTAGATTACACTAATCATATCACAGAGAAAAGCCTCAAGTTAGAACTCATCTGGGATTAACAGTGTAAAGCCACTGAGTGAGCTCGGTAACTGTTCCATGTACAAAAGGGCAGCAGTCAGGCTCCCAATGAAATGTAATGAAAAAGATGTTATTCTCACCAGCCAGTCACTCCACCCATTACAATCTGGGTGGCTACTGAGTATTTTTCTACCATAGGTCCAGAACTGTGGCCAAACACTTGATTCCACCAGTGGTGTCTTCTTGCATACTCAGTTAAATCCAACACTTCGTAAGATTCATCATCACTTTCATATTCTTCAAAATACAAAATGGGAAAAATACATTTAGAGTCAACCAAAAATCAGAAACGTCCTACACAATTTTTATGTTACAACGCACTGTTACTTTTGGACTACAGTTAAAAAACCTAGATGGAAACATTAAGAGTTTGTTACATCCAATCCGAGACTAGGGCCTCAAGAGTAAAAGGGTGTAGCATCTCCTTTCCAAAGGCCCAGGGCCAGCCTGGGAGCCCGAGCCAGGGCTAGGTCAGTTACACAGCAGTGAGGGGTCGCGCCCCCACCCCCAAATCTCAGTAGGATCAGTTCGAATTTACACAGCAGTGAGGGGTTAACCCCCAGATTTCAATAGGGTCAGATCAGTTTCTCAACATGAAGGGTCACCCCCCCCCCAAATCTCAGGGCCCGGGCTAGAGCAGGGTCCATTTTCATCAGGAGAAAGAAGGGGTCCTCCTGACAGAACCGGTTAGGGGTCTGTCAAGAAGAAACTACTTCCGAGTTAAGACTGAAAAACGCGTCTCAAGATGGAAATGAAGGGCCAGGGGTGAAGGTGAGGCCGGAGATGGGCTGTGTTGGGGGCGGGGATCGCTCTTCGCCTGCGTTCCGCCGAGGGGGGGAGGGGAATATAGATCAGAAGGGTGCTCAAAGGGGCTGCCTCAGAAAAACAGCCCCAGGAACCCTGGAGCAGAAGGAAGAGGCGCCCCTAGAGCAAGGTCGAGAGCTGTGAGCCGCGTCTCAGATACTACTTCGGGCCCGGGCCGCTCACCTTGGGGAGGGGGATTCCGGGTCGCCATGATACCGCCGGCGGCCTGTACAGAACGTAGTCCCCGCCCGCCCTCCTTTCCCACTACTTTAAGAGCCGCTCTAGGCCCAGATGGAAATCTATGGTCTCTTTTTTCCTCCTCTTTCTCCTCTGAGCGCGTTATCCTGTCCCCGCCCCCTCCTCTTAGCGCAGGGTCTTCTGCGCAAGCGCAAGACTGGTGAGCAGTTGGTCGGTAGCAGTCCCATGAGGGCTTGTGGGAGGTGTAGTTCGTTGTCCTACGCAACCCTAGCTTCCCACCCCACCCCCCCTAGAATTTCCACAACCTAAATTGTTATTTTGTTTTCAACAGCCTCGGGGCTGGAGAGGAGGGGCTCATTACATGGTATAAAGCGAAAACCAGCTTGGCATTTTGAACACTGTACCAGAATTCAAGCCCTTGAGGGAAAAAAGCTTTTAAAAAGATAAGAGAAACCTTGTTTCAAACCACGCTGTTCTAAGAAGGCAAGGGCTCGCTAACGGGTGGAAATTTTTTCTAACGCGCTGCTGCTGGGAATTGAAACTTTTTTATCCGCTCCCTCTCCACACGTTTCCTGCCCAGTAACCTGAGGAAGGTTAAAGAAAGGCCTAGAAACTGACCTGACTCGAGTTATTCCAGAGAACATAATTTTTAAGCATCATTTTATTTAAATCTGACAGAGGAACGAGGTCAAGTTCTTCACTTAGAAGCCAGACGGGCCTCTGCAGAATGCAAAACCATGTTGATCACCAAGCAGCTAACTCAGGTTCACAGAAACCAGCCCCAATCTTGTTTTGAACTTGCATTGCACCTACATTTGCTGTACAATTAAAACATCTCTCTCAGTATTCGTTTTAATGGAAAAACAAATTCTTGGATAGGTTGCATTCCCTAAAATATTGACTTACATAATCACACAGTAGCTTTTCACATCCTGGTGCTTTAAATGCAAGGGTTGAGTTTCTGAAGTTCCTTAGTCTGTGGCCCATAAAATGCAATTCTAAGGCTGGCTGGAGATGTTAGTGTTCAAAGACAGTTACTTTGAGTAAGATTGCACTTTTCTTTTTTTTTTTTTAAAGGGGATCCAGGGATCCAATTGCTTCTTTTTTTCTTTTTTTTTTTTTTAAAGATTTTTATTGGGGAATTAGGGGAATAGGAACAATGCTGGGGAATTGGGGGAAGGGGAACAGACAAGTTGCTGTCGTTTTGTTCTTCAATCTAGTTGTGG